CTATATCTTTCGATAGCTGGGCACCATCAGCTTTCTTCACCACATTTGCCCATTCACTGGCTTTGTCTTTAGCAATTGTGTCGGGAAGGTGGGCATCATAGAATGCCAATTTAACAGAAGAAAGTATTCTTGCATTGATGGAGTACTTGAGTGGAGGCCCAATGTCCTTCTGCTACCTTAGTACTAAACCTATAAATATAGCCACATAGATCTATTTCCCCATCCTCATATAAATATATTTACATATGTACATGTCTTTATCTAGACCTCCATGAATACCCACAATAATAATAATTATAACTTATCGAGGGTTCATGAGGGAGGGTGTTGCAGGGAGAGGGTGGGGGAAAAGGAGCTGATACCAAGGGCTCAAGTAGAAAGCAAATGTTTTGAGAATGACGATGGCAACAAATGTACAAATGTGCCTGACATACAATGGATGTATGTATGAATTGTGATAAGAGTTGTATGAGCCCCCAGTAAAATGAATTTTTAAAAAAGGAGATAATGCTTGTCATAAGATGTAACTATGTGACACCAATGCATAATTAAATATTATTTTAAAATTCTTAAAGCAATATAAAAAAAGTCCCCATCCCCAAGAAGATTAGACTACTTATTTAGAAAGCTGAGGGCAGGCAGCCTCTGGACAAGTGAGTGGGAGGGCGAAGGGCAAGCTTTCGGGAAAAACGGACCACCGTGCCAAATCGACCTCTTTGTACCTTCTGCCACAAACAAGTCAAGCAAACAAAACAAAACTGCCATCAAGTTGATGCTGACGCTACAGGAGAGAGTAGACCTGCCCCCATGAGTTTCTAGGACTACTGGAGTAGAAAGTCTGGCCTGTCTCCCAAGGAGGAGCGGTGGTCTTGAACTGCTGAGCTTGCATACTGCAGCCCAATGTGTAACCACTGTGCCACTGAAACTACCCGTTTTTAGAAGCTTGGCTTTGCCCTCCTCCCCCCAAATAGGAAAAAATGTCCTTTGCTGTTCAGGCTAAGACAGGATAAAAGGTTATAAAGGGCGTAGTCAAGCTCTGGAAAGTTCCTATAGACATAAGAAAAACAAAAACATAAGCTATGTGATTGGGTAGATTGACAGGGAGTGTTTCTAAAGGCCATTATAAATTCAAGGCAACAAGAGAAATGGAGATGTGTTGGTACCCATTCTTCTGCTGAAATGAATGTCTGTGTTCTTTAGCTCCTAGCAAAGTCCTCAGCTAAGGGTGTTCCTTGCCACCCACATTACCGCTCAGTTTGGTCACAGCTTTGGGTAGAGGTGTGGGTTGTGCAATTTGCAAGATAAACAGCTGAGGATTGGTCCTTTGCTGCTGCTTAAAAGGAAGGTTTGAGATTTTTCCCAAACTGGATGTAGGGAGGAGGGTTGCTTTCACCACGCCTACACAAATGATGCCTGAATCCGGCATCCAAAGAGGCCAGGAAAGGA